CGATGCGAATCGCGTGTGCAATCTTCTCGTTTATTCCGGTGCACGTATATATATACGCGTGCACGCATACGCGATGTGTAACATCTTGGAAATATCTTGGACCGAAACGCGTAACGATTTTTCACAATAGCGCACAATAGAAAAAATATTAAATAATATTTATTTTTCAATAAAATCGATAAACTCTGATATACAAATATATCCTTTATATCCGAATTTGTGTTTTTATCAATCTTTTCGATTTTAATTATTTAATATAGGTATCCTTTATATCCGAATTTGTATTTTTATCAATCTTTTCGATTTTAATTATTTTAAAATCATTCTTATTCCTAATATTTTTTGTGCGCAGGGCCTAATTCACAAAAGTATATTGAAAAAAAGTTGTTAACTTGAGTAAACCTTTCAATTAAATATTATTTTGTTAATTGAACATATAAAAATATTTAAATTAAATATAACATATTAAATCTAAAATGTATATTTGATTTAAATACTAATACATGTTTAATTAACAAAATAGTGATTTAAAGGTTCAAAATAGTGGTTGAAAGGTTTAGTCAAGTTAACAATTTTTTCAGTATGTCTTTATGATAAACGATTCTGGTAACTTACGAATTTTTACTTACATTTTCCTTAGAATATGGATATTTTTCTTTAAATCTAGAGAAGAAATCAATTCATTGTCAGTGGTAATTAATTTGTTATCGTATGCAATGATCGAGACATTATTGAGATTATTCATCCCTTTTTTTAAATGTTTATTTTTAAATATTAGTAAATGCTTTGCGATTGATAATATTTATCGATTTATTTTAAACGGGATAAATGGGATTAAATAATTAAAACTTGTTTGTTAAAATTTAAAAATCTTAAAATGTATATTTCGATTTTATTTTATTTTTGTTATAATGTTACGTTTATTTTATTTATATAAATATATATAAATAAATCATATTTTGAGTGCCTTGTCAAGTGCAATATAACAGTTTTTCGCGTTTAAATTACTTTTGCACATATAGATTTTTTAATCTGATATGCAAATTCGAATGATATGGCACGTTGGAGAGAATCAATTGAATCATTTATTAATATTTGAAGTGTGGGCCGTGTTTAAAATATATGCTATTATGCAAAAACTTCCTTGAAATTTCATGATCACGATCAACAGAATATAGTATAAAAAAAGTGAAATTTTTCTGATAAAATCGAGAAAACCCTGAGAAGTAAAAGGTAAAAATTCTCGATCGGACTACGTGATTGATATCCCTGTACGTAATTTGTCAAATACACAAAAAAATTTGCTTTCGATTTCTATAGAGAGAGAAATACCAAGAATTATGAAAAATTTCACATATATAATTACGCATAAATTGAACAAGAAAACGGTCGAAGCAATCATACGAGACGTGTTGTGTAGTCAATCGTGACACAGTTCTGTCAAATGGAACAATAAAGCGAATCTGTTTTACGCCACTGGAATGTTCGGTATATATAATCGATCGCATATTTGTGCAGTCTAATTTTTTTTTACCCGAAGAAATATTTTTATAATGAAAAATGTCTTTCTATGCCGTGATCGCTGCTTCGTCGTGTAATAATACGTAACCTCGGACCAGGAAATGATTGAAGCGATTATGAGGAAACGTCGTAACGATTGTAAAAAATTGTTGCATGTGCTTACTCATACTAGTGAATCGATATTCAGGGACACTGCGGTAATATCCAGCGTAAAATATGACATACACATGCATATGCATACACACACACACACACACACACACACACACATATATATATATATATATATACACTCACGCCTATATTTTGCATAATAGAAGTAGGGACATATCGGTGAACATCCACTTATTCCTTTCTCGTTCGTATATGAATATGAGTGCGAGCGGATACATATATGTATATATGGATATATACACATGTGACGATCCGATGCATTATTCAGCAGCGACCAATGGTAGCAACGCCATGCGCGATAACAAGTATAGCATCTTCTCTCCGAGAAACACAGAAATAGACGGTGCCGCTCGTCAAAAGCGCTAGAGCGAGGCACGCGTGCATATCCGCGAAATAAAGGAATCCAAATTTCCAGACGACTGTTCTTCCCACGTTTCCCTTCGGCATTTAAACGCGCAGTGGTATGTTCACCATCATATTATTATGCATATCGCGTGTTTACATAATTAAATCCTATATACGAGGAAATGAGAGTTGACGGTCGCGTAAGAAAGTGCAAACAGTCACTCTGCATTTTTTGCACATTTAAAATATCTCTATCTTCTTATGGAATTGAATTTTTCCTTCTAAGTAGAAATTCTATTTCTTTTTCATAATAAAGTTTTGGTTGCTCACCGCATTATATTACGTGGTAATTGAGCTCCTTTCGTTAAAATATCACTCTAAAATAAAATCCGCTTGAAGAATTGAGTGAAAACGGTATTGATCGATTAAAACATATTACAAAAAAAATAATTGTATAATCCGCTCGTGTAATGATATAACAATTAGTAATAATATTGAGCCACGTAAACGAGCAAGTTAATTAATCTTATAACAACCTAATCAAATTAGGTTGTTATAACGTGATATTTATTAAAATTCTTCAGTAAAACACCCTAATTTGGGTTATAACAACCTAATTTGGTTTTATTAAAACACGTTATAACAACCTAACTTGGACCTATTTATTAAAATTCTTACAAACATTTACGAGTATTGAACCCTTCACGAGTTTTAAATCTTTAAATTGACAAGCAAAAGAAAAATTATAAATTTGAACGCTGATGATTTTTACGCATAACTGTAGTTAATTCGTTGTTATTAGTACTACTAATAATTAATAATGAATATTGTCACTTAATTATGTGTCATTTATTAAAAAAACTTTTAATTCGGATGAGTATAAAAAGATCTCTCGTTTCCACAGATGTTTAAACTCAACCTTGAGTCTGGAATCAGGTCATCGGCGACATCGGTTCTAGTAACAACAAATTAACTACAGTTATGCGTAAAAATCATCAGCGTTTAAATTTATAATTTTTTTTATTGTCAATTTAAAGTATTGAGGAAAACTGCATAACGTATACTCGTAAATGTTTGTAAGGATTTTAATAAACATCACGTTACAACAACCATTAACTTGCTCGTTTAGTTGGCCACATATATTATTACTAATTGTTAACCGCTTAAATTTATCGGTCTATGAATATCGCGAGTTCGATGTACCGTGTGTCTCGATAATTATAAGGAAATGGAAGATAAGGTTCTATCAATTTATTTTCCAATCCGATTGTTTTGAATCTACGGTATAGTGAGCACTGAATACTGATGCATTTTACGGTATGCAGAATGCATATATTTCTCACAACATCTGATTCAAAAAAATATATGAATAAAAAGAAACACTGGAACTCCGTGAATTTTATTTTTATATAAATATTTTATAGAAATATTCCTACAGTAAAAAAAAATCACAAAATCCGACTTGTGTTTCATAAAATTTCGTGTTACATGTGATAAGCAAATGAGTAACAGTAAAAAAAAACAAGTATTACTTAAAATATTGAGTCATGAATCATTTGTATATGCATACATTAAGGCAGTAGAAAATATATTTTTGCAGAAAAATATGACAATATAGGTTACTTAGCAAAATTATTTTGTACATCTTATAACGATATGCGCGAAAAATAATTCTACAACTTATTTAATTACATTTAATTACATTAATTAAAAGAACTTATTATATCCACATATACGATAAGATAAAGTAATTTTTAATCACATATATTTTCTTTTTTTCTCGCGTCAAATGACAGGTGACAAAACTATTACATATATGTATAAACGAGATATCGTATTGCAAGATAAGAGATATATTTTTCGAGTACTTTGACAGTTGCGTTTAGAGTAGGACATAATCAGATTCACTTAGAAACTTAGATATATTAACATACATATACATTTTATACAGACACACTCGCACTTGTAAAAGCTGTTATGTTAAAGGCTTATTTAAGAGGAACAGTATTGAATCGATATCGTGTAAGAGCAGCTTGTACAGTTTGCATAACGTCTCTTAAGTTTGCATATAGTCTCTTAATTTCACATCCGGTCGTATCCTATGATATACATTGTTCATACTTACTGTTCTTGCTTTATTCAAGTGTAATGCATGACATTCATATGTATTTTTACTACCTCTTTATAGGCATCATATAAACTTTAATTGCAACGATAAGTGATACTTGATCTTTTTTACGCATATTATTTTTTTTTTAAATTAAATTAATTGAGTTTATATGTTAAATAAAGATAAAAAGTAATTTAATTGCAGTCTCTTCTCTTCATCTCTCTTTTATCGCTTGCTTCTATTTTAATAAGTAAGTTAGCAATCGAGACGCAAAAAATTCATTAAATTGGAAATATTTAAATCGTTTAAGAATCTGAAATTCATAAATTGTATTTTTATCTCGAGTAAAAAAGATAAAAACGGCATGTTGTGTATAAAAATATTATTCGTTTTTTTTTGTTTCTCGTAAAATATACACGTTGTTCTGAAACTTTTCTAGAAATAAACATAGTTTAAAAAATATATGCCATTTTTGTTTGTGAATGACACATTAAATGTACAATTTTTTCATTCAGTATATTCTTGTGTTTCAGATTTCGTGAAAATGAAGGACCAGACGATGCGTCATTCTTCTTCGTTGAGGTAATTATATCAGATAATGTCATTTACCTATGCAAGTCTGTCAGCAAGCTACATCATTTTTTTTGCGATAACGCTATCTATTGATAACGCTTACGATAGGATTACACAGAATAATATACAGAATATAATATTAGTATTTGCAATAAAACAGAATTTTTGATTATTTTTTTTCGGCACTCGAAATATAATCTCACTTTGAAAAAAATATAATATAAAAAAATATAAAAAGTGTAACTGGAAAATTGAATTGAATATAACAAAATCGTGACTTCTTCGAAACAATTATTAGTTCGACCTTATAATGCGATTACGACATGGCAATCGACTTTAAATTGAGCAGAAGCGATGCGTCAGACGCCGTGAATTTATAGGTTCGTAAAAATTTGTCGTTGTTTCGAAGAGTATATCGCTCTTTTATTTTTATATCCACCAGCGCAGAAGCGAAGAGATAGCTCAGAGTAAGTCTAGGACATACCCTTATATTGCGTAAATATTGATAATGTCGTTCTCAGTCTCGGTTGACGCGGGGTTATTATTGATCCTACAGCGGAATATATTCTCTAGGGGAAACCGGGCGTTTAAGCCTCTTTTTATTTGCCAGCGATTGAAATGTCAAACCATATATTTGACATTAGACGCGTGACGAGGTTTTCGAGAGAACGAAGGGGAGAGTTCGTTAAACATCTGTCGTATAAAGGAGCGAGACGGATCGAAGATACGGAATTTTTGAGACGCCCGACCGATATCTTTTGCACGTAACTTTTTTTTATTGTCGTCGCGATAAATATAACAACTAAATCCGAGGAGGGAATTTGCACGCGAGTGCTGAAAGTATCCGCGGATCTTCGTGTCATTCTGCCGTGTCTCTCTTCCCACGCGAGATCTCGAATCTCTCTATCGATCGTGTCGGGCTCGTCAGACATTTATTCTCACGTATGTATGTACATAAGTATAAATGTAAATTGCTTTCAATTGTAAGTGTGTAATTAATGAGAGAGAGAGATATCGAAGAAATAATCGACAAATTATCCGATCCAGTTTAACGGAGAAGCTCTCATTGAAAATGTTTTTGCTCACGGAACGGTAATTTTCTTTCAGTTTCGATCCTATGTAATTGTGTGTGCATCGCGTGTTAATTTTTCACTTTATAGTACGTGCTTATTGTTCGATGACAAACATTACTCCTAGATGGAACGTTGTATAGTTAATTTATTGATTCTATATTTATAAATATGCAATTTTATTAGGAGAATTATCTATCGGATTTTTTATATAAATTATATTACAAAAGATTATGCCTTTTTTTTGAGAAAATGTATCTTTATATCTATTTAGATATGTTTTCGATCCACAAGTCTTTGACATTTTTATGCAATTTGAAAAAATTCTGTCTCTTTACAGTTGAAAAATTTGTGTTAAATTTCACAGATATCACATGTCTCAAACAATCTACAGAAATTTTTGTGTTAATTTAACGTAATATAGATATATTAAATGGAAACACAAATAAGTACTGTATATTTTAATACAAAACTTAATATTTGAAAATACAAAATACATAATTTATAAATATATATTAAATATATATACAAAATTTTAAATAATTTAAAATAAATTTTGTGGAAAATTAATATAGTTTTAATGTAAAAATTAACTTTAAATTAAAAATTTAATTAAATTTGTAAGTTCAATTTAACACAACAGCAATATGTTAAATTAACACATGAATGTATTAAATATTTAACACAAAAATTTTAACGGGAACTCTTTTTAACAAGAAAATACAAAATTTCATATACTGTGTTCGTAACTTGGATTTTCTGATGAAAGACTTCTTAAGCTACAGTATATTCAAACTTTCGCAAAATTGATATAAGTTTTTCCTAATAAAAAATCTAAAATAAATAATTCATATACGCAACCAAAATATAATTAAAACAAAAATGGGAAATCGGGCTCTCAGATAATCAAACAAAAGTAGGAAGAAAGGAACTATAGAGCTGGACTTAAAGCGTTAATATTATATAATATAAATATAATTGTTACATTGGAAAAAAATTTATTGAATTTGAATATTGAATTAAATATTTATTTCAACACTGCCTAATAAATCATTTATCTGAAATTAATAATATGGATTTGAAGTGAAAAATATTTAATATAAGAAAATGCTTTTCAAAACAGATAAATATTTATTTGTTGCAATAAATATTTATTAATTTAATAATTTTTTCAGTGTCTACAAAATTAATATTTCAATATCTATTAGGAATTATCATGATTTCTTTGCTGAAAGCAAGTGATCTTAATTTATAGTTGAATCCAACATATTGTCATAAATATTTTGATATGCGAATTAAGCTGCACGTTCATCTTCGACCTGCATAACGTCGCGAAGCGCCATTGCGTCGCCTAAAAACTCTTTATGCAAGCGGGCACGATGCCACACATTCCGTGGCAGATCGATATACATATATGCATATCGAAAGACGTATATACCCGACGAGACGTCACATACGTCTCTCATCAATAGTAGACACCTCTGTATGCTTTATCGGAGTCTATCGCATCAATCGACGATAAAGAATAAACAATAAATCTGTGCGGCATAATAAATTAGCGATATATTCGCGCTCGCATGTATATGTATCGCTCCAATCATATTTATAATTATTATAATAATATAATTAGTATTAACAGTATAATTAAGCAAGTAACGAACGGTATTATTGCATCACGTAATTATTGTGTCGAAACCTTCATCGCGATAGCGCTCGATTTAATGAAACTATTTCAGAAATCTTCGAGAAATATGCGTTAAATACAATATCTTGCGAGAAAGTTTGAGAACATGCAGAAAATTTACGTACAGAGGTTAAGTAACAAAAGTATATGAAAAAAGAAGACGTGATTTTGTAGATGAAATATTATGTAACAATTTTATCTTTACATATGTATTATATAATAATATAATATTTATATTACATATCGTACAACCTATGCTTATATATTATATATTATATATTATATATTATATATTATTATATAAAATTATAATTAAACAAAATATTATCTGTGTGTGAAACGAAATAATAATCACATAAATCGTTGGACAATTTTTTCCTGTTATCGCATACGTATATAAATATTCGAAAAACATTCTCTTCTTTCTCGCAAAAATGTATTTCCGCGCACTATATCACAGTACACTGCACATTCTCGTACAACCTATGCTTATATATCTCTGCAACTGTACGGTTTCGTAGCGGAAAATCTTTCCATCTTCAATCTTTCTGAATTGTACTTTGTACTTAATACTTTTTTACCGCACGTTATAGTCTGAGTTTTTTTTTCTTCGACATATATGCATATATTAATAAAAAATTATTACGTCGCGATAAAACTTGAAAATGATAAAATTGAAATAAATTTGACTTATATATTTTTATTATTTTAAATAGCTTTTGCAAGTTTCTCGATATAATTCGCTAATATTCGTGTGATTTTTGTTTCAGGACAATCTCCTAGGAATGACACTATGAAAGGTGAGTGTAAAAATAAGCTATCAAGGCCAGTTTAGCCAAAACGAATTTTTAAACGGTATTAAATAAGGTATGATCCACGTAAAGTGTGACGTAAGCTGTTTTTTTCTTGGAAAAGACCGGAACATAGCGATAAAATTCCTTTGCTTTAAACTTCCTTTGCTCGTTGGGGCTTTATGGGATAAATGGGATACCGCCCGAGTGTTGCCATCCTTTGGATTTTAACCCGCAATCTCTCCGGGTTTAAAAGAGAATTTCCAGGTCTTCGACTCAAATGGATAATCTCCAGACAATATATATTGCACGAATCATTATTTCTTCTAAAAAGTCTACATGCTGTTTTAACAATATGATTGTTAACGTAATACTTTTACATTATAAAGTTTAAACCGGACAAAATTATTTAGGTATCCTTAAAGTAATTTTTATCCTTAAAGTAAGAAGTATATTTTTTAAGAAAAAAAAGGAATTGTGTTTATTTTTAATTTTATGATTATTTTAGAGTGCAATATTTCTTGAACGAGGGAAAGTAAAATATTTGATTTATAACAATATTCGAAACATAACATGCCTTTTTTTCATTTTGACAATCTTCTAAATCGCTGTTAAACTCTCCATGGGGCAAAATAAATTCAATTTTTTTTTTAAATTGCAGATAAATATCACATGAAATACTCATCTCGCTTTTCAATAATCTCACCTGCATTCTTTTACTTTTCATGTAGAATAACAATGCGGAATTGTCCTAAGAATAAAAAATGATAAGACTATATTTAAAGAATTGATGAAGGTTGCCCTCCTGGAGAGCAGGCAACCCTCTTTCATAAATGACTTTGAACTTTTAAGTACAAGAAGGCCAACCGAGGGTTTTGTAGATCCTTCTTTCTTATTGGTAGAAAATAGTTGGTAACACACTTTAAGGATTATCTTTTATAAAGGCGAAACTCGAAGCGACAAGTTCAAGCCGCAATCTGGTCTACGAATATTCGCTGAATGGACGGGTCTCATATATAGAATGCAGAATGAAGTAATCTCGATATAGTGTCGTATATGATAAAGCATAAGTTTGTTACATAAAATTGGTTATATAAACGCGACACGTTTGCGTTTGTCGAATATTTCGGCGGCGCGCGATTTGCTATTTCTCGTTTATATTCAGCGCGATCTCCCATTATCCCACTTTCATGTGATACATATAGCTACTTTAATTCTATACGATACATATGTGCGTGTATATATATATATATATATATATATATATATATATATATATATCGCCGGTTCCAGCCGATGCGACCTTTTGCCAGTCAAATATTCAACGAATGCAAATACGCGTTTGCGTGATAAATTTTACGCGTGACGTTTTTGTCGCGTATGCATGTACGAACATTTATTGTCACACCGACCCTATTATTATCACGACACTTTTCTCGTCGTGGTTGGACGATATTTATCGAGTGGACACATCCAAACCATCGATCGCATACAGCATTCACGTAATTATTATATACATATATATGACATTATGACTGTACATCGCGCTATTTAATTCAAACGATTTGTAGCCTTTAAGAAAAAGGCACGATTTAAATGCTAAATGAAAAAAGCCATTTGCTCCATTTTTCTATTCAAGAAAAATCCGTCTTGAAAAAAAATATTTTTGAAAAATAAATATGTAAAGAAGAATATTTCTCGTTTCCGCAGAAAAGAATTTCAATTTTTCACATTTTTTCGAATATAATTTTTAATTGTAATAGTGAAGAGAAAATTTAAATATAAAATTTTAAAATGTTTTAAAAAATGTATGTTTCAGTTAAATATGTTTTAACATGACATGGTTAAAATGTTTTGACGTTTTCTTTAATTCTCTTTAATTATAGAAGTATAGCTTGTAAATTTTTAAAGGACCACGATAATTTCTCTTCATCCAATTTGTAATATGAACGTGTCAGATATAAAAGATATTCTCGTCAAAATATTTAAATAAAAGAAGGTTACTTCCGTTTATTTTCTTGCATTATATTTTTTAAAATAAAATACTCGCAATTTAAAAGGGGAATAATAAGCAAGAAACTTATACTTTCGCTTTCGTTGCGGACACTTATTTAACATTAATTATTTATTATGCGCAGGAAAAGGTCACGACGCGACCATACAAGGTTTTGCGAAGCAGTACCCCGGCTGTATATTATATAGCAGGAAAAAGTCGGGAGGTAAATTTAACGATAGCACACACATCATCGTGCACATAAAATATAAGGATTAGAGTCGGATGATATGAAGTGGCAATTTTACAATGTACTAAAAATTGGTAATCATTTTTTTCTTTTTTGTAATCAGAATCAATCTGAGTCTCGTAATATTTTTTAGTAAAATTTTCACGCTTTTGTATATGAAAAATTCATTTTTTCATTATATTAATGAAAGAAAAATTCTTTAAATCCTTACTTTCGAGAGAGAGAAATAAAGGATTCTCATACATCGCTCGAGAGAATAAAGTATCGAATCGCATCGTGCATTTAACAGTTGATTTATTTATATAGGAACGACGGTCGTCGGAGGGTCGAGACCGGGTCGTGGAATTCTATTGAGGACCCTCGTGTTCGTCTTCCTGGTTACGTTTCTCTGGCTTCAGCTTCACGTGATCAGTTTAACGGGTCGAGATGATTCCGGGCAATCGTCGACGAATGAGACGCTTTATTCCCTCGTACCTCAAGAATTGCACAGGTAATCTCGCAAATTTCGCGCAATTTTCATTATTATTGCAAACATCGTTACTATTATTTATTTAATCCAGGTAATCCAGGTATTGCTACTAAAATGTTCTTTAGCGAGTTTAAACGATACAAAATATGCATATTGTGTGTACATAGGCATTTTTTTTCAATTCTACATAAATTTGAGTTTTTTTAAATACATTTAAATAGTAAAATTCTCTAAAGAATTTTATTTCTTTCAGAATATAACATTATTTTATATTCAGAAATTTCTATTTTAAGAGGTCTCGCAAATTTCGCACAATTGTCATTATTATTGAAAATCTTACTGTATCATTTATATTGTAAAATTTTACTATATTAAAATGTTCTTCAGCGAATTTAATCGATACATAAAGAGAATATATTGTCTATATATATTTTTTAATTTTATATGTACAATATATTTGAAATACATTTAAAGTAAAAAATTCTGTTTTTCAGAATGTCACATTATTCTTTAAAAAAATTCTATTTCTCTCAAATGGCACACTATTATATTCATAAAAGCCTATATCTAATTAAGAGAGATTCTCCAATTAAAAAAAAATAATTGTGTCATACAACTTTGTTACTGAGGTGGCATTTTGGTATTTCAGATTTTTGAAGGAGGGACGTAACTCGTCCACAAACTTGACGAATGCCAGTTCGGGAGCGCTCACGGACTTGGAGATCGCGGAAATTCGGCGGAAGATCGAGCGGGCGAATGCGGAGCAAAAAGTGTATAATGAGGAGGCGTTCGGGCCGTTAGCCAGCGACGCACCGATTATAGTTATCCAAGTGCACGCCCGGCTCACTTATCTGCGGCACCTTATCGTCTCGCTCGCGCAGGCTAAGGACATTGAACAGGCCCTTCTCATATTCAGCCATGATATCTGGCATCCGGATATCAATTATCTCGTGCAGAGTGTCGATTTTTGCCGGGTCATGCAGATCTTCTATCCGCACAGTATACAGACACATCCTCGCACGTTTCCCGGCGAGGGACCCAACGATTGTCCGCGAAATATTCGCAAAGAACAGTGAGTCGAGATATTATATTTTTATTTTTTAATATAAGCATTTCATATTTTTTTATATATTATATTATATATGTATATTTATATTAACTTTTGTGCTCTTCTTCGCAGGGCCTTAAATTTAAAGTGCACCAACGCCAAACATCCGGACTTGTACGGCCACTACAGGGAAGCTAAATTTACGCAGACGAAGCATCACTGGTGGTGGAAGGCGAACAGGGTCTTCGATCAATTGTCGGCAACGAGAAATCATAGCGGGATGGTCCTCTTTCTCGAGGAGGATCATTACGTTGCCGAAGATTTCTTACACGTGCTCAGACTTATGGAGCGCACTTGCAAGCTCAGTTGCGAGAGATGCAATGTTCTGTCGTTGGGTACATATTTAAAGACGTACAACTATTTTGCGGATTTTAGTCGTAAGGTGAGAGTTTTTTTAATATCTTAGTAATTCATACAGTTTTAATTTTTTTGCTTTACGCGATGCGCCACGCACCAAGAGATAAGGATACGAATACAAGCGGGTAACACATTGACAAGAGACACATTTTTTTTTAAATAAGCAATTGCAGCGGCAATGTCGTAGAGTCTACGGCGTAGACGGTCTGACGTTTATTTTTAGCAATTTACGCACTTATGAGCCTGATTCATACAATTAATACAGATAAGAATAATAATGTTTTCATTGACTACACGAATATGTTATTGCCAACGCTTGATAGCGCGACAATACATCTGGCAAAATTAGCACGCGTGTTATCGACGATAAACGCGCTTCCTCACTTTCAAGCGACACAGATCTCTCTCACAGATTAATCAATGCGACACGCAGAATTGTCGAGGCAGAAATATCGAGTCGTCACATCGGTGTACGGTTACGTATGTTAAACGTATCCGAGACGTATCATATGTTCACTATTAGTGTGTCTGTGTCGATGTTTCACGCACGCCATGATCCGATTAGTTCCTCGGCGTCGATAGCGCTCTCCAGAAGGAGCTGCTTCGTGGGCTAAAACGACAGGAGATGTCCGCGGCGATGTTGCAGAAGCAGCAGATCGGCAATGGAATCGGCGGCGGCACCACCGGTGTTGGCGACAGCACGGTTAATAATGCCGGTAGTAACACACCCGGAACCCGTAACGGAAGTACCGGAAGCGGCGGTCGAGGCAGCAACGGCGGCGGCAGCGGCGTGTCCTCCACCTACTATCAGAACGTGAACTCGGTGCAACCCGCGTGGGCCTTCCAACTCCTGCCTAGTCTCTACAATCATTATCAGAAGGTTCTCTCGAGAATCCCCAATCGCTGCCCGAATAAGAGCAACCAAACCGCCTGCCGTCTTATATACTTTCATTTCTTCTCTACTTTTGCAGCACAATTCCTTTTGTTTTCTCGCTTCGTCCCTTTCGTCGCGTTTTATCTCTATGATAAACCCGAGTAGTGTCTTGCTCCATTATTCTCTGAAATATTGAACTGTTTACATTGACACATTGCCAAATTTTGCACGGCTTTCACTTCAACATCGATCCAAAGACACACTGCGTAGATTGTGACTGCTAGACGTTGAATTAGAGGATTAAGAAATCGCTTTTCTTACCCTGTAGACAACCAGCGAATTTTATGCGAATTCTTTGTATCGACAAATATCGATTCGATATTATACATCGTGTTGTCTTACATCCATGCCAAATACACAACGTAGGTAATACTCCTTTGTAGATGAATTTTTATTTTCTCGAAGTAGAGTAGTGCATGCTTTGAACATCGTACACACGATACAAAGTCATAATAGAATTGACCCCAAATGTCGCCGGTTAATTCAGCACAAAGTTTGCTCGCATGCTGAAATCATTAAGTATGATGACTTTGATGAAAATAAGTGGCAAGTTTGGATTGAACCCTGAAATTATATCAAAAGATATTGCGAAATGAAATTCTGACTTTGTCTCAACCGATAACTTTAGTTGTAGACACAGTGTTGTGACAATAGATTTCTCCAGTAGATTTTATGTTACATAAGGAGATGCAAAAAGTGTCACGAAGTTTATTATCATTGATGATCGCTAACAATCTCTTCTTTGTTCTGTCGAGACAGGCGGAAGTGACGCCATGGATATCTAGCAAACATAACATGGGCATGGCGTTCAATCGCATCACGTGGAACAAACTACGAAAATGCGCTGCGCAGTTTTGCTCATACGACGATTACAACTGGGACTGGAGTCTGCAGTACATCGCGCAAACGTGCCTGCCGCCTAGTCGAGGTGCCGGAATAACGCCTCGCGCTGAATCCGGCTTGATCACGATGACGATGAGAGCTCCGAGAGTCTTCCATATCGGAGAATGGCAAGTTACAACAGCGTATTGTGTCGCGTCAAACATAAATTCGATCTCTTTAATCCTTTTGTAGATGCATGATATTTTGTCTTATCAATGCATAGATACCAATTGTTTTTGACATTGTACTACGATAATTTTTTTATAACAGCTGCTGGGCAACATTCTTTTCCGTTATATTTTAAGAGGTCTCCGAATACAGAGACCTCTTATATTCTGTTTTAATCGGAGAAAAGTTCCGGCACATTTTCAACATTTAAAGTAGTTGTTTCAGGTATCTGTTTATTGACAGAAGTATTAATTCTTGTTCTACATTTTTTAAGTGTTTCTTTTATTGGACATTATTCGTAAGCATTTAATTAATTATGTGTTTGTCTGCACAGCGGAGTGCACCACAAGAAGAACAATTGCGAGTCGACAGCGGTGATAGCGAAAGTCCAAAACGTTTTGAAGGCGGCGCGCAATCATCTGTTCCCTTCGCAATTAACATTGACGATCGCCGGGACGGCGAAAAAGACGAAACTCCGCAAGGGCAACGGTGGTTGGGGAGACGTACGGGATCATCAGCTTTGCTGGAATATATCTGTACATCCGGATCTAGTTCTGCCCTGAAGAGCTAGATTTATAAACTTTGATTGGTTCCGTTAATATAACGTATTGCAAATTTACAAATTTTGGAATACGAATCACTAGCTACTAAATTATCGTGGTATGTTTATCACGAGAATCTAGTAATTTTATTCAGCGATACCAATCTTACTGGATATTTAATAATGTCTGATAAGATGGAAGAGTAAGAAGGATTGCTAACAAATGTCCGTCGTTCTACAAATCGATTTCGAATTGCGCTGAACGTATTGTGCTGACTGTCTCTGTCAGTCATGCTCGTAAGACCGCTGTCACTGCCAGGAATAGAAGGTTTCTTCTGCAAGCATTCATGGACGTTTTATCGAGGTGAGACGTAATATTGCACATGAAGTGACGAGAGAGGATTTGACAGTGAGTTTACATTGGTGCTATTCTGATAAAAAAAGGAATTTTTTTATAATATATATATTTAATTTGCCAATCTGCTACATCGCGCGTCCGTCGTACCGATGCAAATAATAAAGACATTAATAACTAATTGTAAGTCGCAGATAAATTAGCGAGAAATAGATTTCGCCCGGATAAAAAGGCGAAATTTTGAAGTTGACAAAGAGGAGATTTACTTACTTAGCATTGCGCCGTTCACAGAAATAAATGTGATAAAAGCGTTGATAATAAAAGACATCGTATATTCTCATTTTATCGTATTTCAAACTGCTGCTCACGAAACATGCGTACTCATAGAAAGAGTAATCTTTCATAGTCTTACAGAACGATTGTTCAAAATACATGATAGACAAGTACGTTTGATTAAGCTTAAAAATATGTATTATTCAATACAATATTCTAAAGGCCTATATATGACAAGACAGCAGAAACGACAATGTATTTAATTTCCATATCGCCATTTCTGTGACGGAGACGCAAGCAAGCTTGTAATGTAAAGTTAAATCAAGGCGATACATAGAGACAAGAAGGGGATATACTTTGTATATTTCTGTAACATCATGATGAAATTAGCGTCTCTGCTTCCTGACTAGCTTCTATCAATTCTTTTTGAGATGTAACGCTGGAAATGATGTTAATCAGCATCGTAATGTCGATTATGAAATGCGCTCATCATATTCTAGTCAATGTGTATAACGTAATGCTGAAGCTGCAAATATTTAATAATCGACCGTAGAGAGTAAGCTCGTAAAATTTAAGGATTCATACCTACTGCTAGTGATACGCCCGTAAAGGCGCTTTAACGTCTTGTAACGACCTCGGGGATACGAACGTAATGAATGTCATGTACCTTTTATATTTATAACAATAAAACAACATACAACGAAATAGTTAAATTCGCTAAACAACATTGTTGATAGGTGTTAAATCCTTTTATTTCAAACATTTACAATATACTAGCTTTCTCATTAGAATGCACTTGCACTTAAAAAAAAGAATACATGACTATATTTGTTAAAGACGCGCGCGTTTCATGAAAATTAAATATCATGAACTATAATCCGTTATAATTTCATATATGATATTCTTTTCATTATTCAACAACAGCACAATTTTGCGGTACATTGTTCTTATAATTAAAGAGAAAAAAATTTTTAAATTACTTTTCTAAAAACGAAAAGTATTGATAGTAAGATTTGAAGTAATGTATGAAATTTATGTTTTTATATATTTGTGTTTATCTATATAAAGTTTAATATTATAGGTAATTGATTAAAGATTCAAATGTCTGTGATAGGAAGGCACATTGTCATCGTACTCCGCTCTCATAAAGTTACCAGCGATTGGACCCTCCAAGTTATATTTTTCTGCAAATTTCTTGATGGAAAACCTCTTCCGTTGACTTCCATCCCTACAATCAGAAGAGATAAAAGATATCAAATATCCGGTAGCACGACTTGCATAATATAGCGATCAACTGTGCAACATTTATTCACCAAGTACTCAATCTTCTTTCGTCAAAGGTAATAGCCCCCTGATTTTGCTTATAAAGGAGAAACACGTAACGATGTTTTCCGGTATTTTTTGGCGGGCAGGACCGACGTATTCTGCCAGAATTTCGCCCTTAGCTATATTTTCCTCTGGTATATTTCCCACGAGCCAGTGTCGAAACTCTCGATTGTATCCTCCCCTTCTCGGCACATCAGGATCTATAATTTAAAAAAAAACATGTTTAGGTGCAAGAAATTTTACGAAAAAAATGTTTTTATAAAAAGTATTGAAATTATATATATATATATATATATATATATATATATATATATATATATATATATAATATTAGAATTAATAAATTAAAATTAATTTTAATATTTAATATTACTCCAAAATGTTATATTTGCACATTGTCAAATATACGCGAGTTTCAATTTGACAATTAAAATGTCAGCAAATCTTGAAATGTTGCCGAATGGTGACGGTAGAGAGAAAACTGGTTTCCAAGACGGTGAAAGTTGAACTCGTCGAGGATAGCGTGTTTGAATATGTGTTTGAACATCATGATTTATATAGCGAGAGACACATGTCGCGAATAATAACCGATCTTATTTGAATCAATTGGAATATCTTACTATACAAATGTATGTGCGTCTTTCGAACAAATTTTAAAATTAATTAATTAAAATAATAATTGACACAAAGCTCACCTGTCATAACGAGCGTATACAAAACTCCGCCCTCATGTTTATAATGAATTTCGGGGATCTGATGAGTTTCAGTTGGTGTCAATTCGGTTCCTAAATCAACCACTTTATCGCCGTATTTTACCTAAATATTAATGCAAAATTGTGTTTAAATAAACAATCCCGTGATACAATTATCATCGATTTGGTTATAAATTAATAAAATGATCTCTAAATTTGAATCTGAAAATCTCATGTGTTGCAAAAATGCTTTATTATAATTTGGCAATTTATAAAAGTTTTAGCTACATGATTAAATATTTCGACTCATTGTCAGTAGGATAAAATTAGAGATTTTTTAAATTGAATTTTTATTTATATTACAAATACATACATTTTTGACAAATATGTAAATACCTCGATCTTCTCAGTTGGAGCCTTGTCTATGATATCCGGCTCGATTTGCGTCTTTTTAAATTCCGATTCCACATCGCCTAACGAGAAGCCAATAGCACAAAAAAGGATTCCTAAATTATTGTGGAAAAATAAGAAAATATTTCATTTAAATAATTTTTTTCATTGAAATAAAAACACAAATAACATTCATGATTTTTCCTCACTTATTAATGTAAAACAATAAATAAAACTGACAATGAGTCATAACGAACCTGATATTAAATACTTCATACTTGATACTGCTTTCAGGAAGCTGCAACGATTATTAACGAAAGAGTTTCTACGAGATAGGTTTTAAAGATATAGTCCCCACCAACTTGCTTGTCAGAAGGCCGATCCTGCCCGACCTTTCCTCAACATATACATACAACTGAAGATACATGCATATGACTGAGCTAACGCAAACAATCGCCTACAAAATTGTATAATCTGTTGCAAAGAATGCGGAAATTTGTCTTCTTAGTAATTCAAAATTAATTTTTATGAACACGTCAAAAGGTACAAATTTTTAATTGTTATCAAAACTTTTTTTATACTTTATCTTGTTTCATTTTCATTATTTTAAAGTAATTTACAATATATTATGTGTGAAAAGATTAAAAAACATAAAAAAGTATGTTGATAACTTCTTATTTTATATATAGTAATAAAAACAAGTTTATTATTAGTTCTGAAATATGTAAAAACTACAAATTTTATTCTAAAAGTTTATATATAGATAAAACTTTCTGTGTTATGTTTCTGATAAAAAAAAATCAAAATGCTATAAAGAATACTCAATAAGCATTTATTAGAGAAATAGTTTGATATACAATATTATGTATACATATGTTTCATTGTGAATATTATTGTATGCACTGTATAGCTTTAACCCTCGAGTTGCTGATATAGAATTGGGACATAATCGTCCCATTCTGCCTGATACATGTTTCCAGCGATCGGATCACCCAGTTTGTATTTAGCAGCGAAGTTTTTAATGGAAAACTTGCCACGATTATCACCGCTTCGATTAGTCAAACGCTTCTCGTTGAAAGTGAGCTTGCCAGGTTGTTTATACAACAGAAATACGTATCGATGAAGGCCTGTATGTTTTGGAGGTCCGGAACCAACATACTGGGATAGGACTTCTCCCTTGGAGACATCTGATCCAGGGATATTGCCTACCAACCAGTGATGCCATTCGCGAAATTTGGGATCTTGTCTGCTCGGAGCATCAGGATCTGTTTAAATATTTAAATAGAATATAAGTATAAATATTAATATATATATATAACAAATTATCTTACTGGATTATTAAAACATTCAGAGCATGAGTGAAATAATTTGCTATTTTACATATAATTGCAGATTTAATTTTAGAAAAATATAGTAGTCATTTCTATCAGAATGACTCTTGTTTTCATTTTCTTTTTAAGCGGGAAGCACACATTTTTGCATAAACGCATAAGCATATGCATAAAAAATTTGATTCGTTGAATTTCTTATGCATACGTTTATAGACCAATCAAGATTCTTATGCTTATGCTTATGCGCCTATGCAAAAGTGTGTACCCTCTGCTATAAAATATTAAAAATAAATTACAAATATATGTCTATTATCTACAGTTATTATAATTTATAGAAAAGAAATTACAATGAAAATAGATGCAGATTCTTAACTGCATTATAAAGATAAGACAAATAACTTGACCGTACAGTTAATGTTGAAACTCAAACATATATAATTGTCAAAAATATATAATTGTAATCTTGAAATAAATCCTACATTTTATAGATCGCACTCTTGCATTGAAATGTTTAATTATAAATCTATAATCTATATGACAATATTTCTATTTACCAGTCATGCACAAGGTATAAAATGTGTTTGCATCTCCGCTCCACTGAACAGTAGGTTGATCCTTGACCTGAGTCGGAGTGAGAACCTTGCCGATTTCAACAGTGAGATTATTAGGATAGCTGACATTCAGCACATCCGTAGGCACTTTATCCACCACATCTGGTACAACTCCATGAGTCTGTAGAGCCTGAGCCATGGATGATGCTAAACGTGAACCCACTTGTGAAACAGCTGACGCAACTCCTAGAATCAAGGTACTGAATTACCATAACTTTTCCAGCCTTGAAAAAGTAAAAATAATAAGAAAATAAGAGATCAAAAATGCAATATTTGATGATATCTGTATGTGTTAATTGTTCAAGTTGTAACATAACAATATATTCTGCTATCATCAAATATATATATATATATATGTGTGTGTGTGTATATGATGATATATATATATATATATTTTATCTGTATTAGGAAACAAAACCAGGTCGATTCGCCGGTAAAAATAAGGCGCAACGGAGATCAGAAAAGAGCACTCCCACATTATTTAATACCCAAACTACAGCAGATCGCGACGAGGACGATTGTTCTATGACGCAGCAACATTTCGCCAAGAGACTAGTGCTTCGCGACTCACGAAAGCTTCGCTAGCGAATGTGAGCGAACGGATCTTTTACAACGCAGATCCGCATCCGTAAAAAAGAAATCCCGTTTCTCATACATATATGCGTGGGGTATAATTCGAGAATATACAGTGTCTGAGAAATTTGCTATTACTTGCGGCGAGAAGGGACATGATTACAAAGCACTTGCCGGTATACGCGAATGAACGTGGAACTGGAGGACGAATAAGAGACGGCAAAAGCACAAGAGAGAGAGATCGCTTACCCCTCCTCGTCGTCCGAACACACAAGATATGATATAAGTTATCACCCTATCTGTTGTGTAACTATATGTATATTGTTGTTATTCACCTTCGTGACGGACGATAGGAAGTGATAGCTCTTCCAGGTACGTAGTAATTGAGGTAAATGGAGAGGTAAACAACGTGATAGCGTGAAATCGCGGAGCGGTCAATGCGAGTAAACAACGGAATATCGAGCGGAATAATAAAAGAAATTCTTTCCGGCTGTTTCTTCAAAGCTCTGCGCTTTAGAAACAGCTGTTGCCGGCTGATGCGCGAGTTTTCGACCGCGAATTTATGCAAATTTCAAATAAGCTTATTTACAACGCGAGATGAAAATTGTAAGAAAAACAATTACAAATATTTATACACAATTATCGTCACCGAAAGGATTTGAAATTTACATTCGAGAAGCTTTCGACTTCTGGCAACGCTTCAGAAGAGAAAATATCTCTTTAAAGTCATATAATTTCAAGCAGATGTATAGTAGAATTTCTAGTACTTTAGTAGAATCTGAATTTTCAAAGCGATATGATTTATATCGCTTTAAATTTATATATTTATATTGCAATTATTATATCTTCAGAATCTCTTTTGTATAATTTCTATATATATAAATATATATATATATATATATATATATATATATATTAATTAATTATCTAATAACAATATTGTGTTGAATTTTACTGATTCAGTTTTTAAGTATAAATAATGAGTTTGTCACGTCATAAAAAATTATAAATTATATTTATACTTAAAAACTGAATCAGTAAAGTTCAACAATATTGTTATTAGATATAATTAATTTATGACAATAATAATAATAATAACAATAAAAAATGATCAATTTCAGAAATGCGCAAACGAAGACACCTAAAATGTCAAGTGTACCGACTGTCGATAACATCCAAAACTTTTTTCTCGACAACCAATGAGGACCGATCGGGAGCATCGACGATGACAGCGCCCTCTGCGATATGACTGCTCGAGCAGCCTTGAGCCACCTCGAGCTCAGCATACCTGAGCATATCTACCTGCCACACGGAAGGTCGATCACCTTCTTCTTCTCTAGCCTCGTCGTAGCATTCCAAAACATTCGGTCGAGGTTCGAGGAGCTTGGAAGACGATCGTGTTCAAGAATCCCGATTCCTCCGAAAGGCGAGACGCCTCCGAGGATGAGAGTTTCGCGTATGTTAGGCCTGACATAATCCACGAATGCTCGGAGAAAGGTGGGCGTATCTGCTGCAGGGGACAATTCCGCGTGACAGGACCGTCCGGACGAGGAGAATGCTGTTGAGCATTTAGGGAGAAGGAGCTATGGAGTCGGAGATTTGTCGCGCGCACTTCCTCGGGGATCCCTCCTGACCCAGCTCGAGTCGCCGCCAACCTGGGGGAGGAGTAGCCCGCCGCAAACATGCACCAGAACAGACGTAAGAAGAAGCGAGTGAACTATGGTGTCAGGGCGGTCGAGGTGATTCGCGGCGCGAAGGGCTTCGGCTTCACGATCTCGGGTCAGCAGCCGTGCATCCTGAGCTGCATCGTCCCGGGCAGCCCCGCGGAGAGCGCCGGTCTCCGGGCCGGGGACTACCTGGTCGCCGTGAACGGCCACAACGTCAGCAAGGTGCCGCACGACGACGTGGTGCAGCTGATCGGGAACTCCAAGGGGGTGCTGCGACTGCAGATAGCTGAGAATTATTACTCCGACTCGGATGAGGAAGGCTTGGCCACCGTGAGATCCAAGCCCAAGTACGCTCACAAGCCAAGGGTCGCTAATGCAAGTGCCTTACAGCTGCAATGCAGAGCTGCGAAGGTGGTCAGAGATCTGCAGAGCGGAGCCATGTTTCATGAGTCACTGGGCAATCTAGCGTCTGACAGTAAAGATCAGTACAACTATTCCGTCCTGCACTATCGTTGGAACATGACGAGTCCTCTTCCACCACCGCCACCACCGGTATCTCATAAACGTGATTCCGAGAAGATTGTGCATAGAACGGTGGTCGGGTATCTCGGCACCATCGATATACCGAATCAGTTGCATCCGTCCTGTATGATGCAGGTGAATTCTTCAAATATATTTTATTCTTTTAATTTATAATTTATCCATTTATATGCTAAGTTTTAAATTAATAGTCTAATGCTAGAGTATAATATAATTCTTTATCGTCGTTGCAGGTTTTGAGAAAATGCATCAAGAGGCTGAAAGCTGAAAAGCGAAATCCAACCACTGTACTTCTCACTATTCACGTTGCCAATATTAAACTCACCAATTCGGAGAACCGCGTCATCGCCGAATACCCGTCGTACCGAATAATATTTTGTAACTCCTTCTCCGAGCAGGACAAGCAGTACTTTGGTATATTAACAAAATCCATGAAGAACACAGAGGACATTGTCTCGAACTCGTGTCACGTCTTCACTATTTATTATAAATTAATCGATCACGAGGTGCATTCCAGTGCGTGTAACGTGTTCGGATTTACGTGTACAAAGTCATCGGAGCTGAATGTTTGCCAAGAATTTCCTGACAGTTGTACGAGTCTTATCGGTGCCATACAGACATTGTATATATCTGATTGCACGAATGGAGAGAATCCGTACAATGAGGCGCGAATACGACTGGATGCCGCTTCTCCTCAACCGAGCAACGTTAGCACGTCGACTGCTCATTCGAGCAACAGTGATTCTGGAATTGGTTTTAAAGATGATTATGGCAGTTGTTCGGGTCAAAATACAGTAAACGACTGCGAACGAAGAAGGCAGCATCCTTCCAATGTGCAATATAGGGTACTTTTTATTACTTATATTCTATTTAGATAATGTTATTTTTTTCTTTACATAAATACGATATGTATATACGTTCCATTTTACTTATAAGCGATAGAAAGAAACAAGTGTGAAAACAATATAAATCTAGTACAAAACATTTTGAAATTACAAATGCTTGCATCAAAAATCTTTTCGATAACTTGTAAAAATATGATTTACTCTGTTTTCTTTATATTTCTTAATTTATTTAGTATCTATATTCGAAATGAACAATTATTTCAAATATATAAAGATATTGAAAGCAATTTATATCATTCTTGTGTATTCTATTACACAGTCATGATATTTGATTTGCATTCTAGCTCACAGATTATACTCATTTTCAGAATATAAGCGCGCGATCGTCCAGAGAACTTGTCAAGGGTGAGGCTGCTGAGCACCGATTGGCAGTTCGCGCGACTTCGGAAATCAAGTGGAATAAGGAACCAAAATTCGATTTTTTTAAAGGTAAGATGATATGAGATATGATTACTTTGAAATTGTCACAAGATTTCTTTCATATTTTTTAATCACTTTCCACTTTTTTCTTTGTTTTTTTTGTCCAGACAATACATTTCCAAGTTTCTTTTAACATAAAAAATTTTTGATACATATTAATTAATTAATTTATGAGGATGACGAAACTGGAAATCGAATCTTTCGTTGAACGATTGCTTCGCACTAAACTACTTGGAACTCATTTTGGAGCCGTTAAATAAGCGTGAATCAGAATGAAAGTGGTGGGGAAATCTACGAAAATGCTTTTTACAGGGATGCGACACGTAACGGGGAGTGGGGAGGGTTCGACCACCACCTGCGCCAGCGGAACATCTGCCCCTGTTGCGACTCGTAGCGCATTGGCGGCCAGTACGTCCATTGGATCTCTCGCGTCGGTTTGCACTACGGCGTTGCTCGACGGCCTCGAGGACGTCGCGGAATCGTCGATGAAAGCGGCGTCGACGGCGAAACTACAGCGTCTTATGGACACCACGAACAAACTCAGCCCGAAGGTCTACTGCGGCCAAGTCGGCACGAAATTGCTGGTGCACAGCTTGGAGGATATCAATTCCAGCATGGAGTACGCGCGACCGCCCTTTTGTCATTCGTATTCCTCCAAGTCCGACAAGCAACCTCGTCCTTGGGGAAGCCTACAGGAAATACGGAATTTCGGGAGCAGCGCCTCCGACAATTATATAGTGAGTTTTTCTTTTAATTTATTTTTTTCTTTTAGATCTTAAGAGAAACTCTTACTAGCCGTTTGCCAATTGATGTCATTTTGATATATTATGTAATATATTGTAATATTTTAGCAATATATTATACTTTATAATTAACTCGCATTTCATTTAAAGTATTTTCACAAATAGCATTATATAATATTATAACTATATTACTATGTAATAAAGGATTTTTATAATTTATTATAAAATTTATTGTAATTATTTATGCTGACTTTTCTTGCTGAATAACAAACTTTTATCAATTTGGCAAATGGCAAATATTCTTTTGCGTTAAAAAGAAAAATGTACGATGTGACCAATATTTTTTCTTTATGATTTTTATAAATTCTATAATTATTACACACGCTTCCAAAAATGTGCGACAGTTTACGTCTCGGATGTCGGATTTGTCGCCGAGTTTCCGAACGATTTCCGGTTCCTCTTGTCTACTCGTTATTCAAGCTGCGTCATCGCGTTTCCTGCCTCTGATCTGCCATACACCCAGGCAAGGGTTAAGCGTAAACGAAACAATCGGAAAACCAGGTCTGCGTGAACCAGATTCCCGCGTTTCACTTACGAAACACGTGTTCGCGAACGCGTTTACTTTATTCGGTATCTCTGCCGCCTTTCCTAGGAATGTACATATGTAGATTGCAACAAACTCATGGTGCAACCGTGATGCTGTCATCGAATCATCGGATTTATGCCATACAAATTTGTTAAGAATTTGACAGACTTTCTCGCATATTTTTTGATGGAAATTTCAAACAAGTGTATATCAATTAGAGAAACATTAATTGGAATTAATTGAAAGTTGACTGATCTCTCTTGGAATATTATTTACTTGTTTTTATCACGATCACAAAATTAATTTTTTTTCATATTTATTGTTAGTTGAAAAATCAGAATTTGCGATCTATTTGGAATATTATTCGTTTTCAAAATTGAAATGCTTTTTTTATATTTGATCGAAAAATAAAATCAGAAATGAGATATTTGCATTAACATTTGGCGATTTCGAAAAATTAGCGAGATTATTACCTCGAAAGCAATAGGGCAACGAGCCAGAAAACATTACCATTCTTTTAGATTCGCATAATGACACAAATTAAGGTAATTAGGTTGAATCAGAGTGAAATTTTCGCTGAAATTTTTTTCGCTAATACGGCGGATAAAAATAGCTTCTAACAAGTACAGTGCAACGAGAGCCTAAAGTAACATTAAAAAAGAATGCTCCCGAGGTTGATGCACCACGTTTAAATGCACGAATAGATCTTATGACGATAAATGCAGGGTCGGTTGCATAAAGGATATTCACTGCTTACATTTTCCAATTTTTTTTCCTCAAATCCTATGTCTATCATGAACAATCCTTTTCAAGTAAATCCAACAGAAAGGTATTTGAAATTAATCTTCATTATATTATTGAATTATATAATTTATTATAAATATAATAAATTATTATAATTATTATTTTATTACAATTTTTTATTATTTTTTTTTATTATATTTATTTTGATTATTCTTCGCATATTATATTATTGAATTATAATTTGCGTAATTGAATCTCATCAGTATCTTATATAAAATTAATCATATCAATTCCATCAGAAAATGAAAATTTCAAATATTTAAATAAAAAAAAATAAAGTTAATTTTTAATGGTGTAGACGTGCAGAAGGCAAAATTATGAATATGCAAATTATTAACATACATCATAGAGATGCGTTCCTTCGTTATCCATCCATCCTCAAATATTTAAATCGTATATTCTCCCATGATCCTTGCAGCTTCTAAACCACTCCATGCTCCACTTGTTCTGCATTAACGAATCCTTCTGTCCTGCAGTGCGGCCCTGCATAGATGTTAAAAGGAGGTTGAGTTGAGGAGAGAATTCTCTGGGGAGAGACAGAGAGGGAAAGGCCCCGTGTATACATATAGTGCAGCGGTGAGAGCGGAAGAGACGCGGGGGACCGTGGGGTCGGGACGATGAGAATGAATCAGTCGAGAGAGCAACGGCGAGGAGTAGGAGGAAGAGAAGAAGGGGACCACGGGCCTTGTTCGAGCCGTCCGTAAAGTGGCCTAGCCTCGGCGTTTCTCGTCGTAGCCAGGCCAGGCAGCAGTCAGTCGGATCGGACGCATAGCAGCAAGCGTGTGACTCGCTCGTCAATGATGTCCCCGGATGATTACGTCGTCGTTTGGAACTCGCCGTCGTCGTCGTCGTCGTCGTCGTCAGCTCGTGTCACGTCACGTCACGTCGCGTTGGGCGGAGCCCTCGTCATTACACCAGCGAATCGCCTGTTTTAGTCCGTTTTTCTCCGTCGTTCTCTATCTATTACGCGATCATTGTTAACGAGGACTACGAGAGTATCTCTCGATTTAGGTTGACATATATAAATGACATCGCCGCCGTTGCGCGTTTCTGTGAGAACGAGCGTGACATGGAAGCGCGGGCGAAATCGGTATGTAAAAGAAAATTTAGAAAGGAATAATAATGTATAAGACAAATGTATTTATAAATGTTTGCACGGTATATCGCACCGCTGCGCTGATGCCGCTGATAGCGTCAATGACTCATTGTTCGACGAATTTGGAGCACATTCGTGACTTCAGGGAAAGTGTCATTATTCAGCGTGTTAAATATTTTTAATTAACGTGGTGACTTTTTCTTAGAAGAAAGGAGTTTTGCATCACACGTATACACATACATACAAAATTAAAAAGCGTGTTCAGATAATGTTGATCTAAAAAAATACGTTTGATTTATTTGATAAAATACTTGAAGCAATTTAAACTGCGTTGACAGAAAGAGTAAGCTCCATCGTACCGAGGATGTCCTTCTGTCGCATTAAATTTGACATCCTACATATATCGGATGATTAAGTAGTAAAGTGAGCAGAGAGGAGAGGTGAATGTAAACCAACATTGCACCGTCAACATCTCAATGAACTTATATTTACGCGGTCGAAATAACGGGATAAAAAACTCTATGGGGGGTCAGAGAATCATCGACTGTAAACAGTGTGCGATGATTGTATTTCTCTAATTAAATCCTGGTTTTAAGAGCTAATATTCCGGATTCTATTCGCTAATGCTTTCTTTTTCTCACGCGCTGATACGAAATGTTTCCTTAATTATTAATAATCACGTGTTCTTGGCTCGGTGAGTTCATAACGCGACGACTCATCCTCGTCTCTTGATTTTAAATTCGCATTCTTTTCATTGTCAGATGCGTGACGAACATATTTAGCCTTTTCTTCTTCTCTCGTTGAGTTGACGGAAATTCTCTCTGTTTCTCTCACACATAATTATAGCTATCTATTCTTAAAATCAATATCTTGCTGTCGTTTAATTGCTCTTACCAGTTACGCGATAATATCAATTGAAAGAAAAATCGCACGTGGGAAACAGAAAATGCACATTACTTATCCTGAATATGGGAAGACACTGTACGGGGAGATGGGAAAACGGAACATGCGAAGTGAGAACGATGTAAGAAAGCGTTTTTCTCATAGCTAGCGCGCACCTGTTGCTAAACACGGCAGGTGCTGAAAAAAACTGCAAGGATTCCAGCTCGGGATCCGCGAAAGAAGTAAAATAAATATCGGGAGATTCTTCTCTAAATTCTCCTCCTTTTTTGTTCAAATATTATCGATACATTGAGATCACACTATAGAGATCGTGCATAAATAACATCAAAGTATGTGCATAGTAATATTTGAAAAATGGTAATAATTGTACAATAAGCAAAACATTTTCAATAGGTTTTATTTATTTTATAGCAATTTTATCTTGTATTTGCATTGTCTCAAGGAACTTTTTTTTATAATTAGATTATATTTTAAGGAGAATTAATTTATTTTAGAAATATTTCACACCAGGCTGAAAAAAATAATTGAAGAATTATTTAATTCAATGAATTTTTAAGTTTGTTATTAATTTAAAAAATTACAGATTAAATTTTTCTACTAATTACTTTTACTATTAAATTTGAAGATATTTTCTCCTTTATTTATATTTAACATTTTTATTCTATAATAATACATTTTATGGAAACAATGTCCCTGTGCAATGTGATTAAAACTTCTCAGTTAAATTTTATTAATCGAATTGTATTAAATGTGTTGCAGTACGGAAGTACAGAATCCTGTGACAAGAACAATGACTGCAAAGGAGTGCACACGTGGGCAAATGGATTTGAGAAGCTGCTGGAAGATCCAAAAGGATTGCAAACGTTTGCTGTAAGTTGTCTCTATTGAATATTTATTACGCATATGTGTATGTTAATATTATACTGAATGCAATTGTTCTTTATTCAAGGAGTTTCTCAAGAAGGAGTTTAGTCATGAGAATATATATTTTTGGGCTGCTTGTGAGAGATATAAAGATACTAAAGACGCTGGTATGCGCCGTCGATTAGCCTGCCAGATATATCAGCGTCATTTATCGAATACAGCCGCCGAGCCAGTAAACGTTGATAGTCATGCATCAGGACAGATTACGCAAGAATTGCTCGATGAAGCACCCGCGGATTTATTTTTGCAGGTATAAATTCCGGATATCCGTTCAAAGTTATTTAAATTTTAAGTTATTATTTTTCATCTTTTACAAAAAAGGACAGCAAACAGTAAAACATAATCACTGATGTTTTTGTTAAAAATGAATTAAATATTAACTTGTGCTCTTTTTTTTGCTTTAAGAATTACATGTGTGTATTAGCTTTAAAGCATTTATCTTAACAAGAGCATCTATGATCAGATTATATTGTTACATCACATGCAATGATTCTTTTATATTTGTCTCATTTATGTAATGTGCGAATATTTTTGAATATATATTTCATTATTGTATATGATTGAATTAAAAAGTAACTGTATCTTAATTAATGTATCATTGTTTTAGGCTCAGAAACAAGTATTTAACCTAATGAAGTTTGACAGTTACCCAAGATTCTTGCGATCGGAACTTTATCGTGCTTGTTTGGAAGCAGGGAGCGCCATAGTTGATACAGAAGACTGTGATTTACATCTTACAAATTCACCCAGTGTAAAATTGAAAAAGAGTCACTCCGATGCAGAAGATCGTTGTCGGAAATCGATTCTTCCCTGGAATAGAAAAAACAGGTGAATTGTTTAAACAGAGAATGTCTCCATTTGAAGAAAAAACTGTTTTTTTATCTATATATATCTAATTTATTTTATCATACATATTTTTAGATCTAAATCGAAGGATCGTGGTGAATCCGAGTACAACAAAGTCCCTAGTCGAAGTGAACCTATATACAAAAGTTTTACAACCATCAAGAGGGACACGGAAGGTAATAATAATGAAGACAGTGTGTCAATCTCCAGTAGCCGGTCATCATTAGCGTCATGGGATCTGGCGTTACGGCAGTCATTTAACAAACATGTAAGTATTCCATTGCATCTAACATAGCATCCCAATAATTATGTTTTTAATGAATATGAAATAGTTATTTGCATATGTTGAGTTGATGATGAGATTGTTCCTTTTTATAATTACTGTAATATATTGAATATAGAAATTTGAATTGTAGATTGTAAATGCTAATACTTTAAGAAAATTTAAATTCTCAAACATAACTGTTTTGATAAATTCTTTTATATTTTAAGTTCTGTTTAAACGAGTGTTGTGTGTAAATTTATTTTGTAGAGAATGCATTTGATAATATTATATATTTATATACGTTTTGAAAATGTGATTATTATTATTATTACATCATACTGTGAGGTGAAAGAGAGTAGTATGTTGCGCATTAATCTTTCCAACTAAGATACATTAACTGTCACAGAGTATAGATTTATACCACTCGGATTCTAGATGTATTGCATAAACATTTAATAACAAGTTTGTTATGATTATGTAAAAATGGTCTAACATCAAAATGTGAAAGTTATGATAAATAACTTTCAAAATTTTATAGCATATATAATGTTTTAGACAATATCTAATATTTGTATAAATTCTGATTTAGTGAGCTTGGATTGCTTTTTATTTATTTTATAAAATAATTTTTGCTTTAGATATTTTGGATTTTTTAACGCGGCAAAATGTTTTCAAAAAATTGCGTGCAATATAAATCATGTATTTCAAAAGAATATTGAGCTTATTTCGTGTCAGACTCGCGCAAATTTTGTAGTGCACGTAAATGTACTTGCGTAAGCGAATATGTATGCTTACTTGTAGTCTCTCTCCTCTTGCGACGGTCAAACAAACGAAAAGAGAGATGCTCGCAAATGTACGGGATTGTGTCGAGTAATATTGCCCGATGGTTCCACTACGGTAGTGACAACTAGCCATACCGAGAGCATTAAAGACGTGGTTACTCGTCTTCTTGATAAGCGAGCTCTACGATATTCTAATTATGACGTTCTGATATTAGCAACAGATGAGGTTTGTGTTGCCTTCTACTTAATCGCAAGCTTCGAAAAATATATCTTATCTAATGCATACCTTTTTTGCGTTTTTTTTTGCGTTATAATGCACATATGTAGTTTATTTGTTCTTGATTTTTAACATTAGCTTTTGCACAAATTAAGTATCGAATGCGTGATGCATGTATTTTTATTATTTTGTTCATATAATTTAGTGAGGGAAAAGACAAAAGAAAATTGTTTTGTATATACACATTTGCATGCACATTTAAATTAGGAATATTAATACTTAATATCTGCATACACATAATTTACAGTTTTAATCACCAATTCTTAATCATTGCATTAATATAAATTGAAACAAATCATTGCATTGATTATATAATACATTATATTTTTCTTGTTTGCAGATGGTTGACACGAAGTGTTTTTCGTCAGTATTAGCAGGCCAGGAAGTAGAGGTTGTCCTTACAAAAGTTCTAAAGGTAGAATTACCCTCGCGAAGAATAATAAGCGTTATCACTCACAAGGGTAAAACTCTGAAAGAAGTGTTGAGGCCTCTTCTAAATAAATATGGCTTCAATCTAGACTTAATTAGTATTTGGAGTGAAGGTCATTGCGTTCCTATGGATATTATGGCCATTAATGCCCCTACGCGCCTTATTGTAGTGGCAAATGAAGAAGGTTAGTGTATTTAATAAAAACATCTAATAATGATATGTATTAATAATTATTAATATTTATTATTATATTTCTAAAGATAATATTTTATATATATTAATATATAATTAATTTTCTCAAACAATTTTTTATGTTAAAATATTACACATTAATACATTTAGTTATTAAAAAATGATTAAAATTACAAAATGCTGAATTAATAATTTAAATATTGTTATTCTTATAGATTTTCAACGAGAGTTACATACTGCCAAGTATTTGGACGAAGTACCACATGTACAACCAACTCTGGATGAAATTACTAATAAAGTATTTGAAGAGTTATTAGTTGGGAAAAGTAGAAACAAATATCAGTACAGCGAAGGATCGTGTAAGGTAAGCGAAATATAATAATATCTGAAGCAAGGAAAGATATATGTAATCTTTTATTATGTAGTAGTTTATTCTCAACGTAATTTTTATATTTTATCATAGTCTGATGATCAACGCTCTGAAGGATCTTCCATATTGTCTAGTAAATTTTTTCTACGAGATTCGACAATTCACGGGAAGAAGAAGGTAAATTTATATTTGACATTTTAAAATTAAAAAAAAATCAATAGTACACAAGTAACTTATTTCTGATTTTTCATGATTATAAGGCAAAATCTAAATATTGCAATACAACTGAGAAGGGTAATACAAATGATGAGGGAGCGCCTGTTAAATCGCAACCTCCGCTTATCGCAAAGTGGCGTAATGGTGTAAAATTGCAGCTTCCAGGCAGATTCGACGGAGATGGTGAGATAATAATATATATACTTTTTCTTTTTATTATATACATATATTAGAAATTTTTTATTATATACATATATTATATACATATATATAGAAAAAAGCAATTATCAATATAATTTCGAAGATATCAAATATATAATTATAAAGAGAGAAATACTTATAGTATCCAAAATTACACTTTTTATATAAAATGTCAAATTAAATTAAATTATAAAATGTGAAAAAATGAATTTTTTTGAGATAATTAATTTAAATTGTAATTTTTTTACAGATTTATACGAAGGATTAAAAAGAGCGCAAAGATCAAGATTAGAAGATCAGAGAGGGACGGAAATTAACTTTGAGCTACCGGATTTCTTAAAGGTACAGTTCCAGTTGTATTTTACATATATACATCATATTTAGTTTGTACTCTAACTTATATTGAAATTTGATAGAGCGTATAGAAGTTACATTGTGTGCATAAACTCTATATTATATCTCTATATTATATATATATGCGTTTCGACTCTTAAAGCTATGAAATTACTGATCAGAACAAGGAGAATGGGAAACCGTCGGATTCGAACAAGATGCGAAGGAGCCGAGTGGTGTCGGCCAATTGCGAGGGCACCACAAAGTTTTACGATTCTAGTGAGGATAAGCAAAGTAGCTGCAGCGGATACGACTATCCCATGCACGTGACGAACGGAGTTTTGAACGAACGATTCTCAACCTTGGTTACGGAACCTTTAAGTAAGTGCCTCGACAGCTCATTCACTCTAGACGGTGATAGAACATTGGTGGACGCCGATCAGACGATCATTGAGAATTATGCCAATTCTCCATCGAAGACTCCGTGCTCGGAAAGCTTCAGTATGGACATCTCTCGTGGGAAACTATCGAAACCTCCGCCGTTACCGCCGAAACCTAAAAATCTCGTCGTGAATGTGGTGAAAAGCGGATACATTATGTCACCGAAAACTCTGCAAAGGCCTAATCATGTGATCGAATGAAGCAATCTGAATTCCGTAGAGAGAAGAATATTTTCTAATTAACGTAACGTTTAGTGTACATCGTTTTTCATGTGATGCCACGATTTCGAATACGACATGGTAAGATACCTGAATTATACCTTTATTATACTTATGAATTAATTATAGAAAAGATGACTCCTTGTGTGACATCAAAGTTTACTGCGGACGAAAGATATAGGGCTATTATTAAGTAATCGCATTCTTCTATTATGCATTTTCCTATCATATATTCGCATTCCACAATTTAGATTTTATCGCGAAAACTTTTTGCCCTGTTTGTGCCTTGACTCTAGAACGCTATTGTATAAATGTGCCGATCTTTTAAAAACTTTATCTTTTAATTATACATTCCTATATATTGGGTCGCTTACACATTAAGATTAATACATTCGATTTTGTTTCATCTTTTATTGATTTGTATTTTTAATCAATAAAAAATGAAATAAATGAATATGATTGTATTTTTTATTGTACGTAATATTTATGTGTCCATAATAATGACATGTGGTGCTGAATGATAATATAGCGTTCTAGAGTTAAATTAGATAGTAAAACACATATGATATATATATATATATTTTATATATATACCGACAATTTTTACCATCGAATTGTCTCTTTCGACTAGGAAAAATAAAACAAGGAAAGTTCAGATGATGATAATTAATGCGCTTATTAGACAAAGATATAGAAACAAATATTAATAAAAAGAAATGCATTTCAGAGGAGCATAGCAGAATGAAAAATAAAACACGATTTATTTTGCAATATTTTGAGTAAATATTATTAATTAGATATTTTTGGAAAACAATTGCTTCAGGAAACAATTATGCCCTGTAGAATATAGTGAAGCATTTTAAATATTTATTGCATAGATTACGAAAGTGTATATTTAAATACTATATTGTACATTTAATTACATTGATAAATGTTTAGCGATACGAAAATGTTTGAAAAAAATTTGGAAATTGATTAAATTCTTGAAGTAGTTCCGCTGTATTCTACAGTATATTTTGATATAAATTATCGTACTTTACACACGCTGGTCAAAAATGTGCATATGTCACTTTATAACAATGAAAATACTCATTATAGAGAGAATTATGTAAAGCAAATTCTCGTTATATATTGTATTGGTGGGGCACCTATTGTGACACATGCTAATATATTGTATTATTTGACTATCTGAGAGAATTAGACGAACTAATAAATTTTCGAAATTTTATAGAAAAGCCTACTTTTATGCTCCGACTGCGAGATCTTGTGCCGTCCTTAATCCATTTGCTGTTGAAGATAACAAGCAATCTTCCTTGTATCCTTAACATTTTCCACTGAACGTGAGTACAATTGATTTTAATTTTTATATACCATTGAATAATATAAAACTAGTTATATATAATTATTGTTAATAATGCTTACAAAACTATATAACAATATATTAAAAATATGTTATCAAGTTAAAAAGAAAATACCCCACTATAAATTATAAATTAATTAAGTTACATGGAGATTTTCTAGAAATTCGAAGATTAATTTTGGATTAATTAATCATATTACAATTATGAAAATTTTTTAACACATCTTTTTAATATACATATATTTTAAAAGTTATATAATATATAAAACATTTTTTATTTCGGAGCTTTATAATCGTGAATTGCACTAGTCATTTAATATTTAATTTATATACACATATCCAGTACTGCAATTACTATATATAAAAATATATTTATTATACTCCTATTTTTAAACGACATTTTTGTGCACTTTTATTATACTCTTTTTTTATCATATACTAAAATATTACATTTATTATTACAAATACATATATGTACGATTTAATAAATATAATATTTTAATAGATTTATATTTTGTGCATATATCGTTAAAAAATAAAAGTATAATAAACACAAAAAATGATTTTTATATATAATAATTGAGATATAATTCAAAGTGTGTCAGAGTGGAGCAAAGTGTAATCAAGTGTAAATGCAATGAACAGTCTCCTTCTCCCCCCACCCCAACCCTCCTCCTCCCACCGTGATAGCCAGTTTCGCGCGTTTTCTCACATCAGTCTCGGTCCACCCGCGCGCGGGTTTTGATTCGCGTCTCGTGTCGTTGCTGGGACGGTTGGCGTGGCGGCTTATCGCGTTTGCGACTAACGAATTCGACAAACGGCCGGTTGTTTCGTATCACGAGGCATGAGTGTGCTCGGTGCGTCCGGAGACGTGACACGTACATAAACGTTTGCCATCGTCACGAAGTGAGTGTTATTGTTGGTTATTTCGCGCGGGAAAATAACCATTGTCGCGACATCGTCGAGCACCGTGTCCAAGTAAATTAGTCTCAATTTATTTGTTAAGTGTGAAGTGATGTGCGGAAGTTTCCCGATCTTATCGAGCTCTCTTTAAAAAAGAGTCCTGTTTGCAGTTCATAAACACGTACGTATGACTTTTCTACTCGATTGACGTTTCTCCACTTTTCCCGCGCTTTTGAGGGTTATAAAAGTAAATGTGTCGAAAAAATGGCATATTTTCTCACGCGATTTACATAGCTTTAAAGAACCAATGTTTGGCGTTTTTCTGACGATTCGAGAGTACATCGAGAGGGCATAATAACGACGTTATTTATCTCCAGTTGTAGTACTCAATTACTCTTGATCATAACAGTGACACTCAGTCAACAATCTGGTTATGGATTTCAAGGGTACAAGTAAATAACGTGGAACAATTCTTTGACAGTGTAGTTCGAATAGATTTTATGTCATTTATCAATATTTCGACAAGATATTTAATGTTAAAGATGTAAATATCTTGCAATATATTATTTTCAACATTATATATATATACATTTACAATTTTTTAATTAGTGATTTTCAAAAGATCGTTCGATTTTGATTTGAGAAATTTTTTGTCGGTACCTACTATGAAAGAAAATTATCGATATACTTATATACAGTATGTTTCACAATTAATGACCTTAATTTTAAATCCTCTTCGCTTATATAATTTCAAAAATCTCTGTCATTTTTTTCATAAGAAGTAATTTTTTCATATTAAGAAGATATCGAATCCAAAATTCTCGCGAAATCTGTCATTAGAAAAATATGAGGCTGGAATTGCGATACATCTTGTATATCTTCGAGGTCACAGAGAAGTCCTGCAACAGCTTCCGAGAAACGTTGCTCATCCGGAAGTCGGCTTCAACGGTTTCGACAATGAGAAAACGCGGGTGTATTTTTATCTTGCAGGATACATCCATGTGATCGTATTGTTAACAACAATTGACAATGGCAAAAGTAAACGTACACTGCAAAAAAACTATTGAATTCAAATAAATATTTATTTTAATATTTTTCTTTCCACATTGATTTGAAACAAATATAAATATGTATCTGTTTTAGGAGAAAAAGGATTTTCTTGATATCAAATAAATCAATATTATTAGTTTCAAATAAATGATGTATAAAAGAGTATCGAAATAAATATTTATTTGAATAATTAAATAATTTTTTAAATAAATTTTTTTCAGTATATTATAAAAATTTTGTCTTCATACAATTGTTGTTGTAATAAACTGTTTTAATTGTTTTATTCTTATCTCTCGAAGGTATTATTTTCGAGCAAGAAAACATAAATTTGAATGTACAAATATTTATTCAATTATATTATTAGATTGTCTATTTGACGTTTGTGTAACACGATTAGGATACAATATATTTTAACTAGATTCTATTACAAGAATTCCTATATTAATTCTCTCATTTTCAGTAATTAAAACAGATATAATATCAGTGGCTTGTAAACAAAAAAGGTCACATGTATAGCAGATCTTACTATTCAATAGACTCACATAAACATATATATGCTGCTTTTATATCTAAAATCACTCTTCTTGAAAACTATGCAATCAGAAATATGTGTTCCGTATTTTTTACTTGTTCTTTTAGCATTATCACTGTAATTATGATTCTTTCAAAACACAAATATTAAATAAAAATAAAGAAAAATCTTTTTCGCGGTTAAAAAATTCAGTAATGGCACTACAATAACTGGACACTTTTTAAATATATACATATAATATTAGTAACTATAATTATATTATTTATATTAAAAAAGGAGTTTTTTTTATCATTTATAAATAAATAAATAAATAAGTATATAAATATATAATACATATATATTTTTCTTTATAAACAATAAAAAGAGATTTCTCTCTTTTTAGTATAAATATATAACATAATTACAGAGTTATAAATATACATACATGTATATAGAGAAACTTTTACAATAATACTGATAATTCAAATTTCATGAAAACTTTATTTATTCTCGACACCTCGTTGTGTAATTAATTTTATTCCGAACTTGACAATTAATCTTGATACTGATAACAATCATTATCATATTGACAAATATCACCAATTTATCAGTATGATAACTATCAAATATGTTGAAATAATCAAGTAATGAGATGTCAATTGTATTATTTAGCGTATAATCATCACCTTCGACTGGATCACGAGAGATCGCTAAAGGCCTCGACGTTCTTCGCGAGACGTCAACAACGTTTCGCGCTCAATTCATCAGGTAACATCGATTCATCGAGACATCGCGTTTCATTTGCCACGCAATTCGGCTCGTCGAATTACAAGAGAACGATTTGCGCTGTCACATAAAATCCACGCAAAGTAACATCGTCGTAATCATCGAGATGGAAGGAAGATCCTCTCTCAGAGAGCTCGGCGAGAGATCAATCGGAATGGAAGTGTCGCCGATGTCGAGCATCGTCAACGACCTGTCTAAATCGGTACTCAACTCTGGCAATAAACGTTATCATCAACGTTCGAGAGGTGAGTCACAATTATTGTGAGAGATGTTATTAGGTTGACGCGAGAGAAAGACTTGTCGGATAAATCGAAGAATTTTATATTTATTTTAATTTCTATTTTAATTTTGATATACAATTATTATAAATTATTATTATAAATTGAAGAATTTTATATTTAATTTAACTTCTATTTTAATTTTGAAACACAGTCCTTTTCATTCAACAAAATTCGATGCTCGATGAAAATATTTGGATCGATATAATTAATATTTAAAACAGAACTTGGTAGAAAAACGCGCGATTCTTTCATGTCAACTTGATATACATATATATTATTGTTAATGTAGAAATGATTGTTATGTCAGGTTATAAAAGTGTACGCGCAAATGATGATTAAGATCATGAGCGTCTGCAGGGGGTGGCAAGAGGGGGTATTTGCCCTCCCTCTTGGAATTAGTAAAAAAATTAAGCAATTGTTCTTTTTTTAGTAGTAACCTAAATTTATTTGCATATTTAATATAAAAAGATAAAAATAAAAAAATTAAATTTAAAAAGGAAAGAACAAAAGATAAAAAAATTGTAATCGTGTTCCCTCCTGGAAAAAATTCTGCGGACACTCATGATTAAGATATATTGCATAATATAAAAGATATGAAAATAATAATAAAATCAGAAAAATTCGAGTAATTACAAATAAACATGTTAATCGAAATGAAATTCGGAATGCAGACTAATTAGCATTCGAACTATATAATAACTGACAATTCTGCTAATACTAGTAATTTACAATTTTAACGGATTTCTTTTTTCGTAATAATGGGCGGAGAACGTCGAGTTAATTATGGACAAAATGAATATTGATTGAGCGGAACGTGAGAGAGAGAGCCCGGTGGCGCGTTCGGGAAGGAATTAGGCGGGTTACTCGCTAGGGATTTCCCCGTCCTTCAACGATCTGTGAACGTCTGCCGTCGGTCTGAACCCTGCGAACCGAGTTCGCAGCCTCAGATGTCAGTGTTTCTCATTCGGGTCCGCTCCTGCTTATTTTTTCCGTATATGCGTCTTTTTTATATTAATCTCGTCAAGCATATCTAAAACATTTACATTATTATCACCATATAATTGCACATATATCCTATATGCTATTATTATATTATTTACTTAATTCGAGGGGGAGCACCTCACTAAAAAATGCATGCAAAAATGCGTCCTGCGTTTGATTGAATATCGATTAAAAATGAACAGTGGTTTCGCAAGTCTCTGCTAAAATCATTCATTACTTTTGAATAATGATGATATTGAATTAATCGATCGATTGAGCACCCTCTCACGAGGCAAGTAGCTCGTGCCGAGGGTTACGGGGACCAGGTGCTCACCTGCTCCTTGTTGGGTGGCTGGTTAGACTTGGCGCCCCCTTTTATTCATGCCCTCGGTAAAGTCCCATGGAGGTTCGCATCGCGAATGAACGGCTGCCTCTGTCGGGGCACTATATATACGCGAAAAAGAACAGAACCTACGAGGAGGATGCTTACGGTACTTTAGGACCGCTATATTGAGATATCGATAGTCGGACTTTTCCCTCCGATCAGTATCGATGCATTATCCGAATATAAAGTGATACCTGTTAGGAGCCACTTTGGAGATGTATAATTAAGATTTCATTTGATTTGTTAATATATATTTTTACTTACACAAAATCACAACGTCAAGTCAATTTCAAGAAATATTAATATTTTAATTATTAATGATCAATTATCGTAATTTTATTTTATTTGATTATATTGATCCCTAATTTTATATTTCAAGAAAATATCAATTGATTATAGATTACTTCATTCATATAATATATATGCAAATTTATTTTTATGTCAAGATAAGATACATCAGTACTATTTACATTTCGAATAATTTTATATTTCTATTATTTTTATTTTTATTAATGATCAATTATCGTCATTCTATTTTACTTTAATTATATCGATCCCTACTTTTAAATTTAAAGAAAAGAACAATTGATTATTGATAATTTTATTCATATAATATATGTAAGTTCATTTTTATATCAAGAGATAAGATGATTAGATAGAGATAAGATACATCAGTATAATTATTTACATTTCGAATAATTTTCTAATTTCTTTAATTTATATCGTGATGGTACTTCGGTTTAATCCGCACTTACAATTAGCGAAAACAATTATTTAAATGATATTACTAATGATTTGTACCTAACACGAATGAACCGTGTACTCGTATCTGATAAAGTTTGAGTACACATTTAAATACACTCTGCATGCACCGATACTGACCTACCCTCGTTAGACGTCAACACATTGAGAGACCGTTAAGAATACAGCTGTCTCGCGCGAAAGACTTAGGGTCCCTGTTTCTTTCTCCCTTTAACGCCGCGTTTACCTCGAAGGGTGACTGACCGATCCTGTTCTTCTGTCTTATTTGCTTAATTAATGCGATGTCTCGCGCGTTCGGTATTCCGATGAGGCGATAAAAGCGGACGCTTATAAATTGCGCGAGAATCTAATTGTTTTACATTTCACTTTTCACTCTTTGTCAAACGTATAAAAGATATACGATAAACGACTGTGATTTATTATTTTTGTTACACGACTTCTCATTCGTAATGCTGTTCTTTAATGATAAAAAGTAATGAGAAGGAAATTTCAATACTTGGACATTCAATTTTTAATAAGATCTTTTTATTCAGACGGAAGTAATTCGAGAATTTTAATATATTTGTTATATTTTTTTTACATCATTTTTTATATATGAAATTATATTATATATTATATATAATTATGTATTATTATGGTATATAATATTATTTTATATATGTATATATAATTTGATATATATGATTTTTATATGGAAACTTTCCTAAAGTCTTAAGCATACACATATAAGAATATATATGTCTACATTATTTATATATTATATATATACTAAAAAAAATTTATTGAATTGATATAAAGATTCTTTTCAAAACAGATAAATATTTGTTTCAAATAAATGATTTAAAAGGCAGTATTGAAATAAATATTTATTAATTTAATAATTTTTTTTCAATGTATATAATATGCATATATATACATTATATGTACATATACAATGTAGACATTGTACATATTTTTATGGAACATATATTATATTTTTTCCCCTATTTCCATATGAAGAAGCCATATAGGCTGTGTGTGATAACCGGAATAATCGATAGGACATTTACATGTTAAATAGGAGTTCAGCTGGAATAAAACCGCATTATACCGCGTTATATAGTCGGATTAAGAGAGAAAGAAAGAGACGATCGCAACGGAAAACGCGACGTTTCCTACATTTCTTTCGCGGCTGGAGAAATTTAACAAACGTTATCGTCGCCGCGCCGGTTGCGAATGTAATAATCGCGCAGCGAAGTGTTTCGCCGCCACATGGCGCACTCCGTTCTCGTCCGTTGCCTTGAAAGTCCGTTGTACGAGGGGTACGATACAGGCGATGGGGCCCAGGGCACCCCTATATATGAACATACATATATACACATACACACGCACGTTCTAATATCCTATGTACATCTGTGTGTGCCCCCGATAGTCAGACACCGTAGATAGATATACGGTCGATGCCATACGCCATAAGCGTGCCGCTCGCGTGCAAATTAGGTAAATTACCCCGTGGACGCGTATCGTCTTAAGGCGACGAGCGCGATATTTACGCGCGACACTCGCTTCTTAAGCTTATGCGAATATTCCGAGCTGCTGTCGGCTAGAAGTTATGCGATGATAATAAACTGAATATATTATGGGAGAGCTCTGATGTTTAATTATATCGTGCAACATGCTTCTTTTTTTCTACAGCCTTACTCCGATTAATTTGATTCAACCGATAGAATTGTGCTTACACAGCAAAATTACCAGTTACGTATCATACTTACGTCTGTTTCTAATTTTATCTTCACTTTCATACGTCAGATGAGACAGATGTATAAGAGAAATTATAATTAACAGGGTGGGTAAGTTAATGATTTTTTAAACTAACAAGGGACATGTCACAACTGTCCGGAACCGATTTGATTCTCCTTGAAATATGTTGTTAAATACACAAATCTAAAAGACACGTATTTTTTTATACGTGCGCAATTTGAGTTTTAAGGGGTGAAACACCCCTTTAAAGAATAACGGTATTTTTCTTTAGGATCAAATATCTGCTAAACTATAAGAGATATAAAGAAAAAACGTACAACAAATTTTAATGGCTTGAAGAGTACTTTAAAGTTATATGAACAAAAATTTTTTTTTTTTTTTTTTTTTTTAAAAACCCTCACCACCTAATTTTTTTTTTCAAAATTAAAAATTTTGTTTTACCTAATTTAAAGCTTTTTTTTTCCAAATTCAACCATGTGTAATAAAGTTATGTTACGAAATATCATTTTCGAAAATTAATTATAAACGCTCCCGTATATACGCTCATCCGTGCTATGTGCGTAAGTAATTACCGTCGAACAATAAAATATATAAAAATGTTTTTGTATAATTCTTATTTATGTTTTCTATGTATTTATAACTGTGTATTGTGTATATTTAGATTTTTTTAAAAATGTATTTGCATTTTATATTATTCACTCATTATACACATTACAATAATGATATTCGACAAAAAAATGTTTCAAACATAATGACTTCTTGCACCAAGAACATCTTACTACAGCTATATTATTGCAACCTTCGATATCACATTTTGTTAAAGTTTCGTCTAAACTAAAGTGTACTGGATTTTCGAATTCGTCTGGTCTTTCATTCGTATAACCACTTTTAAACCACGAATATTTAAATAAGTTTTGATATCGTGGGGATGACAATTGATTATGTATCAAAGATTGCAATTTTATTATATTATTTCGTTCATGTAAGTTTATATTACTTTCCAACAGTAAAACCGCATCTGAAAATCTTTTAGCAAAATTTTTCCAAATTCTGAATCCATAAACATCTAATGGTTGTATTTTCCCTGTAGTTCCTT